GGAAAAAAAAAAAAAAAAAAAAAAAAAAAAAGGTGCAGAAGAGGCCGCACACGGCAGGCAGCTGATGCTGCAGGTGACCTAGAGGATCCATATATATATATATATATACTAGGTACGAACACCGCGCACTGCGCGGTGTCGGTCTCGACTATTTGTGTCCAATATTAAAAGATCGTTTCATGTCCGATAGTAAAAGATTGTTTGCCAGAAGGAATAATGTAGCAGTTCTCTAATGTTCACTAAACACCAAATTTGCAGACATAAATTTCTATCCCTGAACTATCAAATCTTTGCATTCAAAATGTATATATATCAAAAGGGAAAGGAACATAAACCACAATATACCCTTCTCGTGTATATGGGGAGTGCATAAATTAAACTACGATGCCTATGCATCATTACTCATTAGTATGCTATGAATGCTGCTCCGTCAATCCCGGTAATTAGTGCTCCGTCAATCCCGGTAATTAGTACTGCTCGCGGAATGACTTTTTTTTTACTGTCCAAATCCATAGAGCAGAAGAACAGATTAACATCAACTTCAAACACAAAAATATAATTTTGACAGATACATAAGTATAATTGCTTCTATTAAAAAACTTGCTTCTATATTGAACTCCTTATATAAAAAAAATAGAAGCAAGTTTTTTACTTTTGTCAATATTTTAGTCTCAACATGTTTTAGTATCTATAAACAATGAGTAGTGGTTTAAATTATATTTCTATTTGATCAATAAACTTATGACTTTTAAATTATTCGAACGCCATTGAATATGATAAATGCATGTGAAAAGTGGGAAACGTTATTTTCATATATATGAACTACCTCCATCCCTGAGCAAGGAATGAAAAAGCACGCAGGCTGTTTAAATAATCATGAAAACAAATTCCAAGCATACCAACTTGATCAACCGAGCGACAAATGTTCTGACAGGAAATCAAAAGAAAACAGGATTTAAAAACTACTCCTTACATGATCTTCATCAGCTAGATCAATAGGCCGTAGTGTAATCACATGTACCATTTTTCGTTGAATCACTCTAGCTTAGATTTCGGTCGCTTACTTTTGCTATTATAAATTTTAATTCGGTCACTGTCCCATATGAAGAAGGTTGTTCAACTCTATCTAATTCATCACTCGATTCATCTCCCATTATCTGCAAATTAAATAAAATAAAAGTTGAAAGAATCAATACATAAACTTCACTATTACCTTGTAATTCTTCTCGTAGCCTGCTCATCTTATGAATTATATCATTAGATGGGCATGTAGATATATATACCTGTTGTTCGGAACATTTAGTTGAAGCACAGTTACACTCACTGAAACCAATGTAAATAACGACATCGGCCAAACACATTCGAGTCCCACATGCAATGAAATCTTATGATTGTTTAATATTTCACCTGTTATGACTACAGGTCCAGCAGGATCAGAATGAACTCGTACATGAGCCACCAGTAAGAGCATGAATATTATTATATGTTCTCTTAATTTGCAATTGCACTGAGAAATTGTGAGTACACCATGTGCAAGATATGTCATACCCCTTATCAAAGAAAAGAGAAGTAACCCAAAAACATCTACTATGACTTTATAGTTTGTCGGTGCTCTGGCTTTAAGAAAGTCCTACGAATTAGAAGACCAGAGAATACACGCACGAATTTAAGTGAACATAAAAGAACAAATAATCTGAAAAGCTTCAGTTAACAGAAAGCAGAATATCACAGCAAGGGAGTACATACCTCTTCATGTAACACCCCTAGGACTAAGGCATAAACCTCGAAACAATCTTTCTGCAAATCAGATACGGTCAATTGTCTTAGTGCATGTGAGTTTTAATAAAGAGAAACATTTGAATATTTGATGCACACATACAGTCTGCCGTACCTTAATCTTCACCCAATTAGCCCGGTAACATCAACAACTGATGTTACCGATCTATAAAAAGAAGAGCAATTCATAAAATTTCAATTGCGAATGAAAACCTTACACCAGATAGGACTTAAAAGGAATACCCAAAGCAAACATATAGCATGTGTTCTTTGTACAAGTTTTAACCGTACATGCCAACCTTGCATAGCACGAGCAGCAGCATCTCTGTTACCCATTCATGATCCTAATATTTAATGTCGATTTCCCTCAATGATGTTTGAATAATCAATTTATGTAATAACCCGAATTTTATTCTGACATACTCTACAGTTAAATTTCTCCATAATCCTCTCTTCTTGCATCTCTTATATTAAACATCCTCTATTAGCATGCAAATAAATTTCTGGCACTAATGGGTAAGGCAGCAATCAGCACTTAGTAAACTCACCTTGTCTTTCTGCACGGGCATTCCACTTGAATTATCCTTTATCTCGACGGTGGATGCTGGAATTTCGAATTGCAACCTGCGACGGGCACGGGAAATGAAAAAATAAATTCATGCTGCAAACAAAATCATGAAAAGTAAGGGGAGCAAAGAAGGGGGAAAGGGTTGGCAATAACAGAGGAATTGAGAGAATTGGAGAAAAGGCGGTGCACCCAAAAATCCATCATGTTTCACATGTCTATTATTGCAATTCGGCACTTACACTTTCACCAGAAAAAAAACCGAAAAGAAAAAAAAACATATAGAACTGGTCGTTTAATGTTACACAACGAAGTTATAAAAAGGATCACTCCCAGCGTCACACTTCCAGCTGCTGCTTGTGCTGCATTCTTTGCTGTCTTTTCTTGAAGTTCCTTTGCATCCCTCTGTCATCCAAAAGTAAATTAAACCGTTATCACATTATTAAATAAAACAGACCCTTTATACTCTTTATTCATAAAACGAGTTTAATGGCTCGTAAAAGATGTAGACGATGAGGAATAAAAAATCACATCTTGGGAATTTTCTGTGAAGCGAACAGATGAAGCTGATAAAGTTAACCGTCTCTAATTTGCAAACTTTAGCAAAGAAAAGAAAATGAAATAACGGGTTGCAATTTAATACAACAAATTTTTACAAGTGAAGCGGTGCTTAATCGGAAGATAGGTCTTGATGCAGAAGACAAACTATTAGGATGAACGAGGCAAGATTGAGTGTTAATTTTAGTGGCACAATGGAATAAATCATTTAGTACGAGACTAAAGGAAAAACGATGTGTGTACCTCCGATCTACGTGCTTTAGAACTATCTTCCGCTACCGAATTTGTTCGACAAATTTAAGAAATGTAGATTTGCTGATATAAATTAATCAATGAAAATTTATCTAGTTTGGAATTTTCTATGTTTCCAATGTTCCCAAGAATTTATGCAGCCCTCAGCCTTTCTTGATTGATTATCTTAAATTACTTATGAAAATTAAGGCCTCGTTTGGTTGTTAAGATAAGATTAGCCAAGATAAGATTAAATACTCTAATGAAAACACAATCATTTCACCAGTTCCAGGTACGTCAAATAAAAAAGGCAAGATAAGATACGACAACATAACATCTACGGGTCGACCCGACAAGTTATTAGGAATACCAAACGGCAAACAAAGTCCAATTATTTAGTTAATAATGGCTAATCTCCCCAACCAAACGAGGCCTAAAGCAACTAAGTAAATCCAGATCACTGGGACAACAAAGAATATCAATAAAAACTGAATCTTGAAAAATATTGAACCAGAGAAAAAAATTAAAAGAAAAGTTCAAAAATTAAAAAGAAAACGACCGTTACCTTTCACGGCGCTGTTCAGTGGTGAAGCCATCATCTTTACCCTTTCCTTTGCCGGTGGTGCGAGCATTAGCCCTTTCTCTGTGACGTTCTCTTTGACTTCCACGTTTATTCCGGTTAAGAAATACATACAAGACATATACACACAACAGAGCCAGAAAACACACACACACACACGCACTAAATTCAATTGAGTTCAACGAGAAGAAATTAATTTTCTGAAACCAAATAAATAACAAAACATTGAGGAAATAGGTTAATGAGAAATGAATTAATACATCTCCATACCTATAGAATAAACTTTACTTGTTCTTCATCGGCATGCGGCTCATAGCTAACGATGAAGTTTTGAGAGTGTCTCCCGTGTATACGATGTCTCTCTGTTTCATTGGAAAACACAATTTTAATATTAGAACCATTCAAGGGTTAATTGTAAAGCAGTCGACAATTTCAATCAAAATACCAAAGAACTCAAAAAAAACCAAATTTGAAGCAGCAGCTTATGACTACTGAAAAGATAAACACAAACAATTAAACTTCAGCTATAAACCAAAAATAGCCAGTAAACATGTATCAATTAGGCGATTGCACGAATTACACTGAAAGTAAAACTACAATTCTACGTGCTCGAGTGTTAGAATACAAGAGCAACGGAAAACCAATTATGTTTTTTTAGTTCAGGAAACGGACCAAGGAATTTTTTCTCACAAACAAAAATCAAAATAACCATTTGAAATAGTCCTTACTTGAAACGGCAGCCTATTTCATCTTGCAAACCGAAGAGAAAAACAGCGGCCTATTTCTTCTTCCCCGAACAATAATATATGGAGTGAGGTTAAGGCCGGAGGTAGAAATCAAACTTACAAGGACAACAAGTGGATCGCGTGTTAAAGCATGACCATCGATCATGTCTATTGGTAACATATTCCCGTATGTATCAATAGTGTTAGAATTTATTTCGTGCAGATATAAATTATTTGTGTCAGATTCAGTTTTTCGTTACTGTTGCGTGAAGTGTTGCAACAGTTCGTGAAGCAGTTCGTAAAAACAGAAATAAACGAGACACAAATTTTAATGTGGTTCGGATACAATTGTACCCTACATCCACGGGGACCTGCAAATAAAATTTACTAATTTTTTGTTTTACGAATACAATAATAGGACTTAATCAAAATACAAAGACTCCCTCTTTGTTGACGCCGTTCTTGTATACTACGCTGAATTATAAATCTTCAATTTGCAGCACGTCCCTTGCTCCGCACGGTTGAACTCCCTTCAACGCTGAATCCCTCAGTCGGCGGATCGATCTGCTCCCGAGATCTGTTTAAGCCCCTCTCCCGAAGAACCGATCTTCTTTTTGTATAGAAGAAGCAAACTTGTGATACTCCTTGAATCTTGGTGTCTTCACCACAAATCCTTGAAGCCGATATATTTTCTATGAAAATCACGTATCACGATGGAACAATAAAAAACGAGAGAAAAAAATATTTTCTGTGAAAAACTTCTCTCGATCAAAGACGTTCCAGGAGCAGCAAAGAAAAGAGAAATCTTTTTCTCTCAAAATAAAGGCACAAGCTGCCCACACGTTGATGCTCTTGTTTATATATATTTCCTTAGAGAATAGTAGAGCCCTACACAAAATTAGAGCCCATTAGGTTAGATTTGATCTCACGTAAGGAAAGAAAGAGTTGTGTAACAAGAAGGGTCTTAGTCAAGAAAATTCCTTGTTAACAAAACACTTAGGCAATTAAATAAATTAATGACAAAATAAGAGTTTAAAGAACTAAGGAAACTTCCCTAGTTTTTATACACGGTTTTCACACACGTGTTGAAAACCCGAAATTAGAATCCTCTCGGATTCTAACAAATAGTGTTGACTAAAGTCTCGGTTCCGTCGAGCCAAATCTGAGCGACACCGAATCCTGCTTTTACCAAACCGCCCTTGAGATAGCAATGGGGCGGAATTAGCATTTCTAAATAAAAGTACAATAAGAAAGAAAAAAAAATTCCGGCTCAAACAACGAGAAGAAGAGACTTACTGGATTGTTTCTAAGATCCAATATGTACGATTGAACACCATGTCAAAAAAAAACTCACCAACGCCCCCCCTGTGTAACCAAAGTCAATGCATCTAGACCCCTTAAGGCAAATCGTGTCTCTCACTCGCGGGCTCTGCGAATTTTTATGTTATTTCTAGGGTGAAATGTCATAAATACCCCTGTATAAATAAATAAAAAATCCGAGTGGTCAAATTATAAATAACTATAATTTATAGGACCAAATTGTAAATTTTAAAATTTCCAAAATTGCAATAAGGGACAAAAATTGAAGATTTTTTCAGATCTTCTTCTTCGTTTCACTCCGCCGCCCACCTCCCAGCCCGGAAAAACTTCGGCATCACCGCCGCCTTCTGGACCGTCGAGCACCGCCGTCACCGTCTTTGTTCAAATTGCAGATCCACTGCCATAGGAATAGTGAAATTGGAGGAGAATTGTACTACGCGAATGTCGGGGTGAAAGAAAGATGAGCCGGTGGTGGGGCAGGTGCGTGGGGAGAAGAAGTGTTGATTTGGGTGGTCGTGGGGTGGGGTGGGGTGGGGCGGTAGCGGGGAAGAAGAAGAGCTATTTTTGCTCTTTTTTTCTTTTCTTTTTTTTTTAATTTAAATTAAAATTTAATATAAAAAAATATAAAACATATAAAATCTTTTAATACAACAATACATGTTTAATTTCTGTTAATATTTTATAATTTCAAAATTATTAATAAATAATGTTTATAAAATTAAAAATAACTACACAAAAATTAAAAATAATTGTCTAATAAATTTTGGTTTAATTAAATTAATACAGAGATAAGAAAATTTTAACAAATAAATATGTACAATATATATTTTACTAATTGCTGAAAAACCCGTAGGGTATTTGTGTCATTTCACTTTTAGTCAATGCCTAAAAACACAGAGGGGGCTGTGATTTTTGAAATTGATTACACGAGGGGGCGTTGGTGAGTTTTTTTTTGACAGGGGGTATTTGCCAATTAGCTCATATTAACCTCTCTGATTTAAGAACTCCCGAAGTCATCAACCTGGATAAACATAAATGCACCAATGAAGTTCAAAATTAATTAACCAGCTTTCACAATCGACATTTACAATTATATTTAAAAAAAAATTATTCGAAAAACAGTATTTATTTTTTAAATGCAAGTGAAGTGTTCTTACAGTGTGAACTTTTACTCTAACAGTTGTTCCGACATGTCCCCTGAGCTTTTGTGCAGCTGCTTCACTTGCCACTCCGGCGAGTCTTGCACCTATTGTGCACCAAAAAAAAAAAAATCATCAACCCGATTATTAGAAATTTTGTTAACTATTTTTTATTAAAACTATTCATCAATAAACTATTTTTCTAGTTTATTTAGTACTAACGTAAATTACCGTTTATTTCCATTAGCTCATCTCCTTCGCGTATACCAGCTCGCGCAGCTGGGCTATCTATGCACAATAAAACAACCTGAAATAACGTAAAATCGAGAATTACATGCCAATCTTGGAAAAAAAAAAACTTCATAATTAACCAAAAAAATAAAGCAAATCAATATTCGATATTATAAAAAGAAAAAGAACGGAAATACGTAAAGTCAACCCACCGTGTCCGGTCTGCGGTTCAACGTTGATAAATAAGCCGACACCTTGCAAATTTCCGTAGCTTTCTATTCTAAAACTTTGATATTCCTGCATGCAATAAATATATATATACACGCCTCATAATAAGAGCAGATCAAATAACTGTTGGAAATCTACTATGAACGAGAATTTTGCCGAGGCGAGTTGTCTCTGTCTTTAAGACGAAATTTCCCCGCAACGGTGCTAACGGATTAAATGGAAATCGTCTCCCAAGATACAACGGCAAAACTTGGAATAGGAGCACTCCAAATCCCAAGTACGACGAACTGTACTTTGTGTAGAACTTTTCGAGAGAATCTGTAAAAAGGGAAGGCTTAATATGCAGTAGGCTGGTATTTGGATTGAAGTGAGGAATTGTGGGAATGTTAGGGTCTATTTATAAGGTTTGAAAAGTAGTGTCCTTTGGAGCAAAAAGGTACCTTTTGTTTGAATGGTTGCACCATTTCGATTTGAGCCAATTGGGAGTAGTTGCACCATTTCGAGTTGAGCCTGAATGGTTTGCATTGGTTCGGCCGCACCAATTCAGACCAGTCAGACCAATCGAGATGGGCTTCGAGTGAGCGGGTTAAAGCCCATGACCTAATGTTTTTGGCCCAAAAAATTAATGTAGTGATTTGGGCCCAAGCCCAAATCCGATCCGAACGAACGAACGAGCGAGCCGAGCCGAGCCGAGCCAGTCGGACGGCGGCGGCGCGCGTGTGGGCACGATTTGAAACACATAACATATAGGCCTTTCTCCCAAACAAAGTTGAATGCCCAAAGGGCGTGACCCTTTGTCCCCATATTTTGATATAAATACAGCTCAGTACTTCTCTACTTTTCCAATGTGGGATAACTTAAAATCCCACTTTCCTTATATTTTGGACTAGTAATTTTTTCATTCACCACAAAATTGGTTCTAATCCAAAATTCAGTTATATACTCAATTAGACCGTACAATTACATTGATGAAAAATTGTTCATGACTCAAATTTTAACCAATTTTCCCAACAATCCCCCACATGAATGAAAACGAGGGCGTCGATTCTCTCTAGAGTTCCCACGAATAGTATTGCATCGGGATAGGTAGCATACAGCTTTGAACCTTCCGTAGTGGAGTTACATCGGATTTACTAGGCTGAGTAGTGAACGCGATGTCTTGAACTGTCAGCCGTTTGTGTAAACCAAGACAATGCAACCCACACAATACCATTCTCACATTTCCTTAGTTCTCATGATTGTGTCCGTTTTGGCCATGGACACACATCTTGGATTCATAAGTGTTTGTCAAGTTTTGAAGCGGCCCTCACTTCATACACTTACATAGGTGATCTCCTATTAAAGGTATCCTGCCAATACCTCACCTTTGTTATAAGGTTTTGGAATCATTAAAAGCGTTAGCTCATCCTTTACCCTTTCTGCAGGTAGCACTATTATCTTTCGCGGGAATGAGTTAGGAATGAGTTCCTTAGTGCTCAACTGAACTTTCTTAGCTTAGTTGTCCCTTTTGAACCAGTTCTTGGGATCTCCAGTCAGCATGGTTGGGTTACCACCAAGATTGTCCTTAACTTATGGGTTTTAATCCCATTCCCCTAGATAGGCATTGTAGTTGATCTCTTGGTAAACCTTTAGTCAACGGATCCGCTAAGTTGTCTTTAGACTTTACATAGTCTATAGAAATTATTCCATTTGAGATCAATTGCCTTATGGTATTATGTCGGCGACGAATGTGTCTAGACTTACCATTATACATGCTGCTTTGTGCCCTTCCAATTGCTGATTGACTATCGCAATGAATCAATATTGCCGGCACTGGTTTATTCCAACACGGAATATCTTCTAGGAAATTACGAAGCCATTCCGCTTCTTCTCCAGTTTTATCTAAAGCTATGAACTCCGATTCCATTGTGGATCGAGCTATACATGTTTGCTTTGTAGATTTCCATGACACAGCAGCTCCACCTATAGTGAAAACATATCCACTTGTGGATTTAGAATCTTTGGTATCGGATATCCAATTCGCATCACTGTATCCTTCTAGTACAGATGGATATCTTGTAAAATGCATACCAAAATCTAGAGTATGTTTCAAATATCTAAGTACTCTAGTTAATGCGTTCCAATGGTCATTTCCGGGATTGCTTGTAAATCTACTTAATTTACTAACCGAATGAGCAATATCCGGACGAGTGCAGTTCATGACGTACATTAGACTGCCTATGATTTGAGAATATTTCAATTGATCCACTGGTTCTCCACGATTTT